TTGCAACCAAAAACCCTAAACCCTAAACCCTAAACCTTAACCCCTAAACCCTAAACCCTAAACCGTTGGTGTATTTGTGCTTATGAGAGTCTTGTGAGGGCTTTAGCAGGCGTTTGTCGGGGTTCTACTTGCATGATCATGGGACTTAGTAAGTTAGAAGTCCCTTAATTGGGGTTAAAAGTAAATCTAAGTGCAGTTACCTTAATTATAACCCTACTTACTAAGTCCCACGATACTGTCATTGATATTGGCTCATAAGCTAAACCCTAAACCCTAAACCCTAAACCCTAAACCCTAAACCCTAAACCCTAAACCCTAAACCCTAAACCCTCATGTGTCCAGGGTTTTGGGAGTTCCAGGTTGAGGGCAATTACACAGCATCTTGCAGTGCGGGCTTTGGGCCTTCAGGTTTGGTTTAGGCTTTTGGGGTTTTGGGTTTAGATGGGTTTAGGGGTTTAGGGTTTAGGGTTTAGGGTTTAGGGTTTAGGGTTTGGGGTTTAGGATTTAGAGGTTTGGGCTCAGGGTCAAGTTCGGGATTGCGCGTGGAGATGGGACCCGGGTTTTGAACATTGGTAGAGGTCCTGCTAGACCACTCAGAGAGTGTCACAACTAGAGTGGCTAGATCTCTATAGACCCTACCTTAACCCCAAATGACCTACCTTTTTTAAGGATGTATATAAAGAAATCATGGTAAGGAACCCTAAAAAGGTAGGTTCTTTAGGGTCCAGGTAAGCCCTAAACATCCCTAAGCCCTTTTTCACGTCTCAGCGGTACTTCAGAGGATGTTGGGCTCTTTGGGTCGGAGCCCTGCCTGAATTTGTTATGGGTCGCTGCACACACTGTGGTGGAAAGGAGCTTACATTCGGATGGTGTTGGGTTGAAGGGGGGTGGAAACCCTAAACCCTGAACCCTGAACTCTGAACCCTAAATCCTAAACCTTAAACCCAATACCCGAGACGCTAAACCCGAAAACCATACTAAGACTAAGGGTGTTGTGCCCCGAAACCCCGAAACCCCGAAACCCCAAACTCCAAACCCTGAACCCTGGGCCGGAGAGTTTAGGGTCTAGGGTTCGGGGTTTAGGGCTGGAAGGCTGACGGCTTGGAGCGACATGTGTCGTTTATGAGTCGTAAACTACCACGGTTATTTCAAGTATGTTGAGGGACCAGTGCTCAGGTGTGCGGCAAGGAGCTAGGAGTTAAGGTAAGGCTTTCAAGCATGCGGCGGCGTTGTCTTGGCAGTAGATTCGGAAAGTGGCACCAATGTGCTGTAGAATGTGTTTTTGTTCCGGACATTCGTTGCGCCCGAACGCCTGAAGACTGTTTGCCGCTTTCGGGTTGAAGGTTCTCGTGGCTGAGAGCCATGATCTCCTACAACATTCTACTCCCAGACTTCCAGCCCAAAGCTTAACCTCCATTGTGTACGAAGCCTGCTTGTGCTGAAGTGCAATGAAAAGAAGCATGTCCGTGGGAGTGTCAGAGAACATGAAGAGAGTGTCGTTTGTCATGCTTTTGTGCACATCAGCATGTTTGAATTTATATGTGGGATTACGAAGACACTGAAACAAACATGACCAGCAACCACATCCCCTGCCTCGATCATCGTCAGGGCCATCGACTTCCCAAGGTTGCGAAGGATTTCCGACATCCATTTTCGTTGTGTTGGTATACATATGTTTTTGGGCAGCCATCTCAACACCGCCGGCTGAATCAACACTCCAATCCGGTTCCTTAAAGGTACTACTTCACCAAGCTGCACCGGGCGATTCGTGCGAACCTTTTCAAAGATCGATTCCCGGCATCACCGCGTCTCCTTCACGCTGTGCAGATGGAAACAAACGCCGGAAACCTAAACGCAATGCATTGCAGTGCTATGCAAATTGAAAGCCGAAGTTCAGGGTTCGTTGTTTTGATTGCAAATGTTTCTAGGTATTGGTCCCCTGATGATTACAAAGTTGAAAACCGACAACCTTCCGCAAACCTTCTTGTAGCTTTACTCGTTCAGGACCTATGACGTCCTTTCATAAGTCCTGAAAAACTGGGTTATTTGGCGTGCAGGCAAGCCCTGAAGCATCTTAACCCTCCGCCGTGAAACCCTGATCACTCCTTTGCCGTTGATGTAGTAGAGTTGTCGGACCAAGTAGTAACCGAATTCTTTCGATCTTCGGGTCCCTTGTGGCTTTAATCATGGGCCTAATAGTAAATTCGCACCGAAATTCGATTCCAATACTAAGGTTAGTAGGGCCCGTATATCGCAGGTTTATCGA